TCTCCACATGTCAGAAATTCACATTCTGCATAAGAGAAATGGGCAAGTTGCAGCTGCTGTCTTGGTGCTGCAGTTGTACCTCGGTGTCAGGTTGTGTGCTTGCACAGCCCCTTCCACCTCACAATGCCTGCAGTTTTCCTGGGCCTCTCTTCCTGTCGGGTCAGTTTAAATTGAGCCACAAAGTATCTTCAGCTTCTCTGCGAATCATATTTCAAATTTTCTTTATGGGGATAGTAGATTGACAGCATCCTAAAAGTTATGCTAACTTTGTAATATATTTTTACAGAGGATTAGCATCATAATTTCGGACACTAGTACATGCAGAAAGTGAGGTGAATTATACAGTTCTCATATCCTTGTCTTTTTTTAGGGAGAGGCTCTTGTTTGCTTAACTGACCAAATTTGGAGTGGTGTTTGTTTTTTGTGTGTGTGGTGGGGTTTTCGTTTGTTTGTTTTGCTTTGTTTCGTGTGTGTGGTGGGGTTTTCGTTTGTTTTGCTTTGTTTTGCTTTTTTCCTCCCATGCCAAAAGGAGGCCCAGCAGCCTAAGATAAGTAAAAATGTCCATTTTATGGCTATAATGAAAGTCAACTTTTTGAAAGTGGGGTGGTTATTTGTTACAGCAGTTCTACTACTGAGTTACTGTTACAGACATTTGACAAATATGTTATCTGACATGACTAGGGAAGGATTATGGAGAATATTTCCATTTGTTATGCTTGTCCGTAAGGCACATGCATCATTTGGACACTTCTAAAGAGCAGTGCAAAGTGAAGACCATAATAAAATGAATATTGTTCCTTAGTGTCTGTACAGATGTACAAAGCTTATTGTCCTACCCGAAAGGTGTGGCATGAATTCCATCCTGTCAGGAATGACTGCCCTGCGATAACGTGTGAAACAAGATTTGCTTTGAGTGTAGAGAAGAATTAAACTGTCATGTTGTTTTTTTCTTATACATTTTCATGTTTATTTCATGATCTTAAATTAACTTCTAGGTGTGTTGAAGAAATTGCGAGTTGAACAATATCTCAAAGTATATAGCTAGTGTTGGTTATGTTCCTTTGAGACATGTTGGACAATTTCTTTCAAAGAGGGAAAGGGTCCATCTGTACGGAATATACAGCTTGGTGCAAACTCCTTGTTCTAGGAATTGGCACGCTTTTGAGATTAAGTGATACCTAAGCAGCATAGGTCTGTATATGAACAAGCTCCAGTTCTTTATTTACTCCAGGGAAGGTTAGGCTGTTCAGAGTGATTCAATCCTTACAACACTATAGCCTGCTTTTTTTTTTCTTTTTTCAATAAATTGCCGTTTTTCTTTGGAATAATGCGTGCCATTGCTTATGCTTTGTTTTGTTTATTTTAATGAGATACTTTGTTTACTGAAAGTTAATCTGTGAGAATGATGGAACCTAAGGCCTGGTAGTAAAGCAAGTTCAATTCTGTTTTTCTCATAGCGCTGCTACATGCGCTTGTTGTAGCGGCAGGATGTAAATGTGAGACGGGGAGGGGGGAACAAAAAAAGCCACCCTAAGAATTATCCCCAGTCCCAACAACTATAGCACAAACACAAGGAAACGGTTAAAATAACAACAGCACAAGCAAACATGAATTCACATAAGCCAGAACTGTTAACAGAAACTGAAAGAGAACATTGGTGCTCAGTAAACTATCTGGTGGCATCGGCATACCTCCAGAATGTGCGTGCATTATAGTAACAGGAAAACAACTGGTGGTGGGTAGCCTTTTCGTTAGATGATTGATCATTATGGGATTTAAGAAGTATCTCAAGAAAGTTCTCTAATTGGACAGAAATAATGTTAAAAGGTTAGGTAATGAGACAAAATCTGAAGGCAACATTTACTTCTTTATGATCATCTTGAAGTGGTATGTTGTAGCATTGATGAAATGGATCAGAAGCATATCATTTTTAATTCTTGTTAATCAGATTTTTCTCCAATCATAAGTGGAAAAGCATGTTTGATAGTGAAATAATTTATTATTAAGTGCTTAACTTTGTATACAATTGGAGTAATGTGTTTCTATGGATTTCTTTGGATTTTGTAGCAAAATAACTGCAAAAAATAAGTTTTTGCAGTACTTCTCAAATTATTTAAAAAATGATATTTTTCAGTTTTCTGAATCTAGTATAGAATAAAGTTGCTATCTGTTTTTAATGGTGTCCTTTCTCAATTTCTAGACTTTATTTGAAAAAAATACATAAACTAAGCAAAAGCATAACAGAGTAAGATGCTCTATAGTTGGTGCTGTTTTTTGTAATATACTTTGGTCTGTGAAGCAGAAATGTTTTCATTGAAGGCTCTGTGTACTTTAACAGCTGAAAGAATGCTCAAATAATTTTGGATGGAGGTTTTTTGGACTTTTTGAGCTTTTTATCATGAGAACTTTTAGATTTAGAGTACAAATATTTTTGTGATGACAATGCTTGGAAATTGTTTCAGAACAGAAATTAATCTTTCTATATGTTTTGTGTTGGTTCCTTCGTTACTCTTTAGGCTTATTCTGTTTATTACTTCGATTGCTTTTCATATACCTGACAACAGCGGGTAGATCAACTTGGATAAAACAATGGACAACTTGGATAAAGCAGTGGAATCTTAAACTGATTTGTCCATATGAAAAAGATGAATATTTTCTTCTTAGTACAGTCTCTTGACTGCTGACTGACTTGCTTTCCTTACTTAGCTGATCGCTGGTGCAATGGAAGAAGCTGGGTCTCAGGAGACAGGAGTGAATACCCGGGGTCAGCTGGTGAACAGTCAGTGCAGCGAGTTCCCTGATGCAGCACTGCAGCGTGCACAGTCTAACTGCGATGGCGTGGAAGAAGCTGAGTATATTGCCAAGAACAGAAGGCTCCCAGGATCCACATGCTGCTCTCGGGAATCTCGTGAGGAGACTCCTGGGAGAGAAGAAAGTCGTACTGATCCACCTGATGGCCAGCAAGATCCAGAGAGTGAAAAAAGCAAAGAAAAAACTTTAGGTATGTTTTCTTTGGTGTTTTGGTTTTCAAATTCTGAATTATTTAATTTCAAAGGTTTCAAATGGTTTAAATTTTTTGATAAGACAGTTACATTTTTGTCTAGGTGTTCATCTCAAATGTATTTTGTATCCAGTCTTTCTTATCTTTAGCAGAGTGCTCTGAGGAAATGTGTACTACTGCCTAAAGAATAATTATTAATATAAGAGTTCTTCTGTTAGTACTGCTACTTTTATAACATTTTGAAATGTTAATGTTGTCAATACTACATGAAGTATAGGCTAAAGGGACAGTGAGGTAGGTTAAGAACTGGCTGAACTGTTGGAATCTGAGGGTTGTGATCTTGTGATCGGCATGGAGCTCAGCTGGAGGCTAGGGGTCAATCTTGAGGCAAATAATGCTTAACACTTTAATTAATGATCTGGACAATGGTAGTAAATGCACCTTCAGAGAGTTTTTGGATGGTAGAAAACTGGGAGGAGGGCCTGGCACACAGGGTAGTTGCGATGCCATTTAGAGGGACTTGGCAGGCCAGAAAAATGGGCAACCTTATGGAGTTCATCACAGAGAAATGCTAAGTCCTGCACCTGGGCAGGAATAACCCCTTGCACCAGCACATGCTGAAGGTTGAGCGGCTGGAGACTCCCAGAGAAGGATATGGGGATGCTGGTAGACACCAAGTTGGACATGACCCAACAAACCTCTGTGGCAAGGAAAGGCAAGGACATCCTGAGCTGCACTAGGCAGAGCATGGCCAGCAGGTAAGGGAGGGCCTCCTTCCCTTCTGCTTAGGCCTTGTGCGCAATGCCGGCTCCCCTCCTGGGCACCCCAGTACACGAGGGACAGGGACCTGCTGGAGCAGGTCCAGCACAGGGCCACTAAGATGCTGAATGGCCTGGAGCATCTGTCATGGGCAGAGAGGCTGCAAGAGCAAGGATTGCTTAGCCTGGAGTAGAGAATGCTCCAGCAATGTCTGATCAATGCTTATAAATACCTGATGGTGCATGATAAAGAGTGTGGATGCTGACTCTTTCCAGTGGCACCTGGTGACAGGATGAGTGGCAACAGGCACAGACTGAAACACAGGAAGTACCGCCTGAACACAGGAAAACCTTTTTCACTGTGCGAGTGGTTGAACCTTGGAATCTTGGCCCACAGGAGTTGTGCAGTCTCCATCTTTGGAGATGCTCAAAATCCAACTTTGCGCAGACCTGAGTGACTGTTCTAGGTGACCCTTGTGGAACAGGGGGGTGAACCAGCATGATCTACAGAGGTGCCTTCCAACCCCAAGTACTGAGGTCTTGTTGGCAGATTAGTATTAGAATCTGTGATTGCTGTATTCAATGCTATCAAACCATGGATGATATTTAGATTGCAAAGGCCGTACTCAACAACAATACTCATGAGAATAATGGCAGAGCTAAACTTTATATTTCACTTTTTTATCTTTATATTTGATACTATAAATTATATATTTTTTTTAATATTAAGGTTACTTTCACTGAGTTGTATAATGGTGCATAGTTAATGGTGCACAGTCATAGGTTTCTTTCTTTTTGATGGGATCCCATTTTTCCTCCCATTGTCAGATACTGTGCAGCTATGAAACCAGGATGCAGTTTAAATCATACTAAGTTGTCGTAGTTCTGCAGCTTGCCTTTCTGAACAGGCTGTTTTTCTATGCGGCAGTGGTGGTGTTTTTCCCTCAATCTGGTCATCTCCTGTTCCTTTCGTAGGAAAGGAAGTGCTGTTACTAATGCAAGCCTTGAACACGCTTTCTACTCCAGAAGAAAAGTTGGCAGCTTTGTGCAAAAAGTATGCGGATCTGGTAAGTAGTTTGTAAAGGTAGCAAGAGTTGCTCATTTGTTAATTTTAACTGTTGGATGGCAGAGCTTTTAATGCAGGACCATTTTTCAAATATTTCACAGCATTAGAAAAACGACAAGCACTCAGGCTTCTTATACTGCTTTAGCTAAACTTGCATGTAGTCATTTCATTTCTACATGACTGCATAAACCCATGGAAAAATTGGACTATGATAACTTTCTCATAACTTAGTACTAAAGCATAACATTAAGATGAACAAAAAAGCTAAGAGTCTGTTTAATTGGAATAATTATCATTTTCCTAGTTTTTGTATGTTGTTTGTTAGCTCTCATGCTAGCATTTTGTAATTTACACTGTTTGGGATAAAGGGAGAGAACAGTGTGTTAGAGATGTGAAAAAAAAACAAGGCTTAGTTATGCTTAGTTATTTAACTATTTATACTCAAGCCGTATTTTGGATGCTAGGTTTAATTCTGCTTTGTGTTTTCCAGTCTTTTTTTTTTTTAATCCACTTGTTTATATCTCTTTCCTCATTATCAGACCCAAAAGGCAGAGCATTACCAGTAAGTTGTCATGGAGAACATTCCCACATTGAGTAGGATAAAATATATTTTCCTCTCTAAACTGAGAGGCGAAAAAAAAAAAAAAAGTCTGCTTTATGATTTTACTTTCCAGGAGTCTGGAGACAAAAGTACTTCGTATGTTCATCTTGAGACAGGGACATCCAAAATGAGAAAGACTGGAAACACAGTGTATATGTTTTCTGCCACATTTGTAGCTATAAAATGAATACAAAAGTAGAGAAGAGATAGCTGAATAGCTTAAAAAAAAGCGTAAAGTTTTGTCTTTGCCTGGAAATGTTTCTGAAAACCACATCATGTTTGCCAACATAGCATAATTTTGCTGAAGATTTTATTTTATTTTTGCTGTGAGAGGAATACTGTCTCCAGAGCTTTGAGAATGAGCTAGGAGATAGTCTTTTATTATTATTGTTATGACAGTAATAGTCTCTTAAGAACAGCTTTAGAATTTCTTAAACAAAGGTAACCTTCCTTATAGGTCTGGGGTTTTTTTTGTTTTGTTTTGTTTTCTTTGTTTTGCATGTTGTTTCTTGCTCTCATATGTTGGAATGAGTGAATTTCCCTCAAACCCAACAGCTTCTCTAAGATAGTGGCTTTTCACTTTTGCTTATTTGAGAAATTATGTTTTCATAGTGCAATTCAAGGGCAGGGAGCCCACATTAAAAATGAACTTGCGTATTGTGACAGAAAATGCAGTAAATGAGTTAGAAATTTTGACCAGTTCTTTGTGGATGTAGTGCCTTTTCTCATTGAGCAGACAGTTTCCATAGTGATGATAATGGCCTATATAAGCAGTTAGTTTGGGATGAATTCCCCACTTATGCATAAAGAAAATAGATTTTATGCACTACCTTCAGTTTGTATGAATTTATTGATGTTGAAGGAAAGATCTCAAACTAATTAACAGAGCAGCAAGACTAAATGAATTGTATTCTTTTGATGTGTTTTTCAGTCCATAGAAGTTTGGCCATCAGGAGAGAAGTATTCAGTGCTGTGGTTTTTGAGCTTTTCTGTTGGTGGTGTTCTTTGGTTTTGGGGTTTTTTTTGTGTGTGTGTTTTTTTGTTTGTTTGTTTTTTTGTTTTTTTCTCCCTCCCAGAAGAGGGTCCACAATCTACAGTGAGAGCCACCATTCTGGACAACCAGCTGCTCTCCCTGTGATGCTCAGAACTGCTGGGAAGAGGGTGGGAGCTTGTCCAGGTGTAATAGTGACCCCACTTTAGCTGACTGAGTTTTAGGGGTATTTCGTTACCCTTAGAAAGGTCTAATTTTATCCAGTTGTCCTCTTGTTAAGACGCATTCTTTTCGTGAGGATGGTGGTGGTGAACCACTGGCATAGGTGTCAGTTCTAATGCCAGCAGAGGTTTGAACTGTTTATGACAGTGCACCTACAATGCTTTTTTTCTTTTTTTAAAGATTCATCATCTTTAAAGCTCACTATCAGGTTTTTCAGTGGTGTCTCATGAAAAGGACTGTACAATTAAGGTAGGAATGCCTCTCTCCTGGCAAAAGATCTTCCACAATTTTTTCCCTATTTTGGAATCTATAAGAAGATCAATATATGATGCAGAAAAGTTTGCATCCTTGGTGATATGCATCTCAGACAGGAGTAGTTTTACAGGACTGTCTGAAGTTCGTATGTATGCAAATAGGACAGCCAACTGAAGTGTTCTTCATGCCACCTAAGAAAAGGGCTTTTGTGTTTGAATATCAAAACATTTCCTAAAATTCTTTCATTCTAAATTAGATGAGCTGTGAATGTAACATTCTGTCATGGAGGTGCCCTGATTCTCTCTTCCGTGTTTTTTTTTCTGTGTTTTGGCATTATTTTGAGCTCTTTCAGAAAACCATTGTTGTATTCTTCTGTGTCATGATGTTCCTGCTTGCCAGCCTTCCTTTCCTGTGTTGCCTAGAGGCTGAGGCACTCTCTAAGAAGGAGCAGTATTACACTTAACGTTATGGTTACCTTCTTTACAATAGAGCAGACTCTTTGTAAATAATATGGTTTCTTGGGGAGCCCAAAAAAATCATACTCAGCGGGTCTTAGTCTCACCCTGCTCTCCGAGCAAGAAACTCTCCCCTTCACTGGATGTTCATAGAACAGATTTTGTGCTATATGCAAAGTTTATTGCTCTACCTTCTCTTACCATCTAAACTGTCTAAAGGAAATGGATTCAAAATCGTTTAAATTTGTGCTTTTGAATAGACTCGATAGTAAAAGCACTCACCTATCTAGCTAACTACATGTAATTTAGCTAACTACTTGTTGGCTAAACAGTTGTGTGTACCTTAAAGATAAGAGAATGAAAAATAGTGTGACTTGCAGAAGGCAAGACCTTTGAGCACAAAGATCTTTATATAAGATATTTTTGGCCAGAGAGTAAAAAGGCTGTACTTCAAATTAGGTTGTAAAACTAATCTTGAGTAACACTCCATGTTATTGTTTCTACAGCAAAATAAAATTCTAATGCTGGATAATTGCTGGATTTTTCATTTGTTTTTAATATATATGCCACATTTTTTTTTCCTCAGGGCTAGTCCTACTCCAGTAGCTGAGAACAAGCTCATAGCCCATGGTCAACAGGTCCATGGCTCCTTTTCAGCAAAAGCGAATGCTTGTCAAGTTGGAATTTGTGAGGGATTTTGTTTATTTTTTCCCCTCTATCCTTAGACATTTAGAAATGCATGTAGGATGATGGGAGTCTTTGTAAGAGCAATTTTTAGGGAGTCTTAATGAAATACATCTGAAATGTTTTACAGTTTGTTCAGTGTTCTTTCAACTGCTTGTCTATATGCATAGAATCTATCACATCCATTTTTATTTAATAAATATACTCTCTACCTTTAGTTGGAGGAGAGCAGAAACGTTCAAAAGCAAATGAAGATACTGCAGAAGAAACAAGCACAAGTTGTGAAGGAGAAAGTCCACTTACAGAGTGAGCATAGCAAGGCCATTCTGGCACGTAGCAAACTGGAATCTCTCTGCCGGGAGCTTCAGCGTCACAACAAGACATTAAAGGTTAACTTATTTATGTAAATTGCAAGGCGGGGGAGAAAAGGGAAATCCCTATATAGGTCTTCATTACTGATTAATAATAGAACGGCTGCTGTTTGTTTACCTCTTTGTCCATTATGGGTGCCCATAAAAAGTAAGGGGTGTGGGGTGTTAGCCTAAGGTAAGATTCTGTAACTTGGACAGGATTTCTAGATTATTCTTTCCATGCACTTCCCACTCAGCATAAAATTATGAATTTGGTTTATATTAACTCTAGAAATTGAAACTATACAGAGGCAAGATACTTCTATGATGTCTAATTCAAATATGGAAAAATAAATGTTTTGGCTTGAACATGATTAATATTATTCCATAAAAGGAAGAAAACATGCAGCAAGCACGTGAGGAAGAAGAAAGGCGCAAAGAGGCAACTGCACACTTCCAGATTACACTGAATGAAATTCAGGCTCAACTGGAACAGCACGATATACATAATGCCAAGCTACGCCAGGAAAATATTGAACTGGGAGAAAAACTGAAGAAACTCATTGAGCAATATGCTTTGCGAGAAGAGGTGATTATGCTCCTGATAGGATCCTCTTAGTTTCTTGACTGTAGAGATCATACAACTACTTAATAGGGAGGTGGGGGAAACCTTTTGTATTTTCTACGTATTATGTGCATAATGTAGGATATTGTTTTTATCTCATAGTCAGAAAAAAAAATCACAATAGAAGTGGTCAAGTATAAGCAAGTTCTGAAGAGGCTGTGGAGCCTCTGTCTTTGGAGGTACTCGAAACTCAGCTGGAGAAGGTGTGAGCAACCTGTTCAAACTTAAATCTTGCCCTGGTTTAAGCAGAAGTCTGAACAAGACTGTTTCCAATGGTTCTTTACAGCCTAAATATACATTTAATATTTGAAAGCAGTTTTTCATTATAATTTGTATATAAAGGTTAATCTAAATGAACCCAAAGTTATGAAATATCTTTTGGCAATCACCTCTGTGTTGTATAAGCTCATGTTGCTGGCTCGTGTACAGTCGTCTTGACCTATCGTGCTCTAAGAGTCTCTCTGAGTTGGCCACACGGAAGCAGCTGCATGTTGGGGCTAATGGAGCTGGTTTGCATTGGCACCAGTTTGTGCAGTAGGCACTTTAAGCTACAGAAGTGAAGCACCTCAGGGCTGGCCAGTTCTAGTTGTCAGAGGAAACTAAGTCTCATGGAGTTCTACGTCCAAGCATAGTGTTTGTTTTGAGTTGACATAGTGGGGTATTTTTTTCTTTGGATCAACGGAGTTCTACGTCCAAGCATAGTGTTTGAGTTGACATAGAGTGGGGTATTTTTTTTCTTTAAATCTAGATCAATGGGAAAGTTCACTGTGGGCTCTAGTTTCCCACCTTTTGCGATCGTAGAGTGTTGGTAGTTACTGTGAGATGATTTGGGGAAAAGGCAGGAAGCTGCTGTCTGTTCCTTAAGCAGCTTGAACTAAAAGTACATGGAGGTTTGGTTATCTGTAGAATTCCTTCAGCCACATAGCTGCTCCTTAGCAAAGGATTGCCTCAGGTTTTTAATTATGAGGACTTTAAAAAGTAATATTTAAAGTACAGTAAGGTTAGAAGCAGATACTAGCTTTTGAAGGAAGAACGTTAGTTTCTTTTGTTCTAGGATCTTTTTTGAAATGTCCGTCTGTTGCAGTGTGTGTTTTTTCTTTTTAACCAATTTAATAGAACAGCTTTATAACTAAAACTTCCATGAAAGATTGGGAGTGGGGGAGTAGGGAAGCTTAGCTATAATAAAAGGAAATGAAAGGAGGAGAAAATGGATATGCAAAACAGTCTGCTTACTTCTGCACAGAACTTCTCAAGAACTCTCATTTTCTTCCCTGCTACTCTACACTATCTTCTGTCCACTGTTCCTATTTTACTAACCCGATTTTTTTTTTCTTTAGCATATTGATAAGGTGTTCAAACATAAAGAATTGCAGCAGCAACTTGTGGATGCCAAACTTCAACAAACTACCCAGCTTATAAAAGAAGCAGAGGAAAAACATCAGCGAGAAAGGGAGTTTGTAAGTGAATGCTGCATATGTTAGAGAAATAACAAAAAAAACAACAGAATAGACTTTTCAAAATATAAAGAAAATAGTGAGCAGCAAACTCAGGCTAATGTATTCTTAAAATTAGAACAGCTTTCAGCATTAAGATTGAAGTTTTTTGTTTTTTAAATAGTTCTGTATGTGTATATTGCTTACAATCTTCACACACATATGCACGGGCAGTTAGTGTTGCTATTTGCATTTCCTCAACAGATGTGCTGACTTTAGTTTGTTTGCTTTAAACTAGGAATGACTTGAACTGAAACACCAAGGGATGCTTTTTTCCCCTGTCTATTGGTTGTGCTGTAGGAAATAGCAAAAGCAGAATAAAATATGTGCTAGTCTAAACTGTTTCCAAAATTATGCCTTATACTGATGATATAACTGTATTTTGATCATTAGTAACTTACCTGTAGTTTTTCAAGAAGTTAGCTGTCAATTTAAAATAAACAGCTTTAGAAAAAAAATGCATTGAGTTGTAATTACTGGGTAAAAGGTCTTGCATTTCCTATATATTCTTAAAGTGGGGATACACTGTAAGGACTGCCCTTCATTGATAAACAATAGTTTTGGCATCATAAGGTGATGAAAATCTCTTGCTTACCTAAGGGTGGTCTCAAAACTATATTGAAATTATCTCATTATCTCTACAGATTATGTCATGACTCTAGAAATAATGGTGGAAAATAGATGGTGCAACTTGTAGTTCATCAGTAAAGTGCTTGTATAATTTTAGCTGTTCAAACTTGCTAGCAAAATACAAACAAAATAAATCATTCTACCAATTAAAAAAAACTCAAAAGCAATTTCTTTATGCTAGCTTAAACTTCAAAATAATAATAAAGTGAATTACCTGTAGGTGTTTAGTTTTTGCTTTTTGAAATGACCTCTTTGATTAAGCTTTATTCATTTTTTTTTTTTACAGTTCAAGTTCTTTTAAGTCATTCTAAATGCATGCTTGTTTTTATTTTGTGCTTCCTACAGTTTGCAGTAAATCCACTAATTCCCTTTTTTTTTTTTTTTTTTTTTTTTTCCTAGCTGCTAAAAGAAGCTACTGAGTCCAGGCACAAATGTGAACAGATGAAGCAGCAGGAAGCCCAGCTGAAACAGCAGGTAATTATTTATTTTTTATGGAGTGATCTTCAGTACAGTTGTTTCTGAGTGAAAATGCCAAGACTTGCGGAGTGGTAAAATGTAGCACTTAACCATGCAGTTTTTCCATGTTGTTCATTCATAATTTACCTTTTTTTGTGAAAAATACTTGATATTTTTAATTTAATCTCAAATTTATCTTCAGTAAGCAACTCCTCAATAGTGAGCAATGAAGTAAAAGTTGTAAAGACTTGGTGTTTTGTAGTTACTGAACTCCAGAAAGTACCATTATTAAAGACACTAAACATGGAATTGCTGGAGTTAGTATCCTTTTAAATTATTAATGTTAATATTACAAAGACTAGAATACATAAAAGCTTAAAAACCTGTTCACTGTGACTACCACTTTACCATTCTTCACATTCTTTGACACTGTTGTCTCTTTCCAAAGTATTTCTATCCTTCTTGTAACCAGACAGGCCCTTGTAACTGACAAGAGTTGGGTGGGCTTTTCTATGTGAGTTTTACCCTCTCTTCAGGAAAAAAGGGAGTAAGCAGTAGATATTAATATACCTAGTTATTCAGATTCAGGAACCTAGACTGGAGTGTCTCTGTCCACCAACTTCATTATTTTCAAATTCTGTTCTCTCTAATGGTACAGACAACTCTTCTGTGACAGAGAGGTGGTGTCCAGGGCCTGTGCTGCTGTTTTGGTGATCTGCCATTTGGTTGCATGAAGGCAGTGGAAAGTGCTCCTTTGAGCTAATGGGGCAGCAGCTGAGGAGTAGCAGCTGCTCCTTTCAGTGTATCTTAAGCAACTACCTTGCCTCTTACTCCTTTGTTTTTCATTTTTGAATTGGTAGTATTCTTGCAAACTCTTTCATGTGCTTTTTAACACTTGCTGTGCCTAAATCTGTCCCAAGGCTTCAATAGATATATTTGCAATGTGTTTAGCTAATTGTTGTGTGTGTGTACACATGCACGTCATCTTGGAAATGGGACTTATGTCTAGATTCTCCTAAATAGTCCTTTATCAAAGTCTTTCAGGTTGATAATCCTTTTGTTTAAAATGTGTTCCCGGTGCTTTCATTTTATTTACTCCGCACGTGCAAGTGCACATGCCTACACACTTTTTATGGTAGTAATATAATTTGAGGTTTGTTTGGGACAAGAGACCTTTGTACCGTAAGATGAGCCTTGGAAGTTCAGTCAGATTGCAGAGTCATGAGCTGCTGTTGATAAGCTAGGCTGATTCATTCTGTTAGCATAAAAAAAAAGCATAATTTCTGTGTTCTGCTCTGCCTGTTACGGTGCTAGAGCATCCCCCTGCACCATGTAAGAGCTGAGAGAAATGATCAGCTCTGACAGGTTTGTTCAGATAAAGCAGGAAGTTGCTAGTAAGTGGTTGTGGCGTTTTTCATAATCGTCTATCGTCAAGAGATTAGATTATAAAATGCTAATTTATTTCTAGGCTTATCTCTTGTATTAAAACTTACTACTTTTTAAAAAATATATGCTGGTTAATGTATTTTGCTGTTCCCGATGAATGACTTTGTTGTATACTTCTCTCTCGTTAAGTAGCAATGCTTTTCACTAGTTAATTTTAACACTTTTCACTTACTAAAGGAATTCTTAGCAAAAAAAAATAAAAGGGG